TGAATCTGGACGCCAGTTCCGACTTACATACAAATTCAACTTAAGAACAAACCTACAGTCCCTATCTTGTACGTAACCCGGGGACTGCCTGTATAACAGTTTCCTGCCATGGCCTGGCTAGTAAAATAGAACAATTAGTGTTTGTTGTATCACACATGTGCAGAGACTGCTGCATTATTGCAGCAGAGTTGCATGCAGTTAGCTTACTAAGCAGAACCAACAGGCCTACCAGTTAGTTGAAATTCCAGTTCCAAAATTCACAAATTGAGATTCTATATTTCTGTGCAGCAACATCCTTGTTACATTTCACAATCAAATGAGCTTGAAAACTGATCAGCCCCATGAGTGTTGTACAAGCTGCTCTAGTCAGATGTTGTTACGCAATGTGGGCGTCTTCATCAAATTAAAATAGAGATTTCCACAGATAAGCAAGAAATAGGGCATGGGACTCCAGGATGTATTTGGTAGATGCACCGCCTTCACTTAAGTGTGTCAGATAAGAGATGGTCAACATTGACTGTACGATAATTAAGTTTGTGGTTTCCACAAAGAAGTGGCTGCATTTTGGTTCCTTACCTGGGGTCCTGCTGCCCAGTACTACCCCTTCCATACAAAGGAATAACTTTATCTCGACTGATTCCTGCTTTACATACTGGACACACTTGCCTGTTTGGCCTGGTCTCTAACCACTAAAAAAGAGAAAATTAAAACAAAGTAATTAAAGCATCATGAGAACATCTGTCACACAAAAGCCAGCCAAATAGATTTCTACAGCTATTCAGAAAAAACAAGGTGGCAAACTGCCTACTATTGGGAAATGCTGAAGTGCCTCCAATTTAGGCAGTACTTGGTGTAGTTTAGCATAGTACACTGCTGTACCACATCTGCGGAAGTGTACATATGTAATTTGGCTGGTGAAAACTGTTAACTACACTGTAGAAACACCCTACACTGACCTGGGGAAGGATTATCCTCATCTCATCTCTAACTTCTATAATTTTAACACACACACAGTATGGGTGTAACAGGAAGGCTGTGTCTACACTGGGTCACTTATTCCGGAAAATCAACCGCTTTTCCGGAATAAGCTGCGAGCTGTCTACACTGGCCCTTGAATTTCCGGAAAAGCAACGATGCTCTACTGTACAAAATCAGCCGCTATTCCGGAAAAACTATTCTGCTCCCACTCGGGCATAAGTCCTTATTCCGGAACACTGTTCTGGAAAAGGGCCAGTGTAGACAGCCCAGTAGTCTTTTCCGGAAAAAAGCCCCGATCGCGGAAATGACGATCGGGGCTCTTTTCCGGAAAAGCGCGTCTACATTGGCCACAGATGCTTTTCCGGAAAAAGGGCTTTTCCAGAAAAGCAGCCTGCCAATGTAGATGCTCCTTTTCCGGAAATACTTATAACGAAAACTATTCTGTTTTAAGCATTTCTGGAAATTCATGCCAGTGTAGACACAGCCTGTGTGGCAAGAGAAGGGCTTCACGTTTTTAATCTACATACTAAGCCGTGTCAGCTATTGTATGTAACCTCCCTGGATCACTGAAGTATTTGAGTGGTTAAGACACTGAAAAAAGGGGACTTTTGGTCTATGCTTTTCTTTCTCTGGAAAAACGGATTGCAAATTATTGCATGTTAAGTTTCATTAGTACATTCTAGTTGCCCTGGAGAGAAGGAAGTGTGCTTAGCAAGATAAGGGGATATTGCAGCTTCTGACAGAATACCCCAGAGAGCTGAAGGGGTTATTGTCTTTCATCAGCTCCTATTACAAAGTAAGAAGAACACCATCTTACCTGGTGTAAACAAGGCCAACTGTTGGTATTCCCAGGGTGATTTGATCACAGGGCAGAAAGAGAAGGGGAAAAAGTAGTTACTAACTCACACTGAGATTTGGCAAATAGAGTATATTGGGGACAGCATGCTTAAGGGAAAGCAGAAGGTTAAAAAAAATCCAGCAATGTCAGTACCAACACTGCATTAAAGTCAGACCTCCTCTAGCCCTTCTAGTTAATAGCATCTGACACTGGGTTGCCCTGATGTGGTTACTGTACATCACAGGTGGGCAAGAGGCTGCCAGCAGGCTGGATGCACAGTGCAGCAGCAACAGCAGCAGCA